TTATAAACTTAGCATTTGTTGATACAGATCATCAGTGGGCTGATATTTTCACAAAACCCCTTGCTGAAGATAGGTTCAAGTTTATTCTGAAAAATATTGGTATGGATTTTTGTCCAGAATGATATTTATCAGAAGCAAACTTCTCATATGCAAAATGTTTAAAACTCTGAAGTATTTCATTTGTCAATTATTTGATTTATTGAATTATTATTATTTATGTGTATCTGAACTAACCAATCTTAGAGGATCTGAACGTTGGCTAACGTTTCATTTCTCAAAGAGAATTCAGAAGCACATGCAAGCAAACACGTGTCACTCTGAATCTGAAAAGATGGCGTGCACATTACTGAAGAGACATTTGAGGTATTGTTTGAATAGTTAAAATCTTGGTTTTTCCCCCAAATTGTCAGAATCAATTAATGCTTTGAAATGATTTTTATTCTTTTCATTAAATGCCATTAATTGCTAAGTGGAACGTGTTGAATGTGTCTTTTTGAATTCCCAAATTTATTTCTCTATAAATACCACAAATCACACCATTTCACACTTTTCACTTCACAAACAATATATGCATTTCTGTCTACTCTTTGCTCTTCATAAAAACCCTAAACCTTCATCCAAATCTTCTTCATCTTCAACAATGGCAACATCATCCTCAACATCAGCTCAGTTTCAATCATCTATGGCTGCAGTTGCATCATCAAACATGGGTGTTACTCCATTTAAGGAACCTAAGAGAACATTGTTAACCCCTGTGGACAAGCTTGAAGTTCTTTGTGAATCTACGGTGGAATTTGATTCGTTGGCTGACAATGGATTTGATTTGCATTCTATTGTTGATGCACAAGGCTGGGTTAAGTATTTTGACAGACTATTTGGACCAGTGTACCCACATCTAGTGAAGGAATTTTTGATCCATGCATCTGTTTACCCAAAATTCATCCTTTCTTCTGTTCTGGGAAAAGAGATCATAATCACTGAAGATCTCATAAGAAAACTCATTGGGTATGAGGAGACTAATGGAGTTTGTCATCTGCCAGCTGGGCGTGTGGATATGGAAGAAGTTTATGAGGAAGTTATTGCATCTGGACAAGCTTTAAACAAATTCAAGGATCTGAAACCTGACTACAAAATCTGGGCAAAGATTTTTCTGGGATGCATCAATCACAGAAAATCCACAAATTCTCCAGATTATGTGAATAATGAACAACTCTATTTCATGTACTGCTTGAGTCAGAGTACAAAGGTAGATCTGCCATACATTCTCTTTATGAATCTATGGAATCACATCAATGCATCCAGAGAATCCATAAAGGATAAGGGACAGAAGATCAGGACGTGGATTCCTTTTGGAAGATTGATCTCAGACGTTCTGACAGAGAATTATCTGGTAGCTGCTCTTTATGAAGCTGGAGTTAAAGAAGAGCTTGAAACAATAGTTGGAAAACCCTTGAATGGAAAGAGTCTTCAGAGGCTAAAAGTTGTGGATGAACTCACAGCTGCTCCTAAGAAGCTGAATGTTTCTGAAGTTAGTTAGAGAAGGATTCTAGTTCAAGACTTTCCAATCTTTGGTGCTGAAGAACCTAGGGATATTATTCTTAGATATATTGAAGTATGCAAAGCAGATGGAACACCTATTCCTGCTGATATTCTGATTTGTGCTAGAGAACCTATGCCAGATGCCTATGAGGAGAACATGAGGAAAAGAAGACAATTAGAGGCAGTTGAAGCTGCTGCTCAGAAGAAACAGAGACTTGCTGAAAAACCACAGAAGCAGATCAAGAGAAAAGCTTCTGGAGAAGTTCCCTCTGTTCCCACCAAGCGCATCAAAACAAAAGGTACTAAAACATATTTACCTTCTATTTCTAAAATTGCTGTAAATGTATCAACAATTAGTTCTATGCCTGAATCTCCTCCCACTCAAAATCAAACTATTCCTGCTCCATCTCAAACCTTTGAACCATCAAAAATTTCTGAATCACAAATTTCATTTGATCCTATTTTCACAACACCAACTAAATCATCTGACATTCCTCCATCAGAACCACAAACAAAACCAACAGAACAACCTACAACACAACCACAACAACCTGAAATTCAACAACTAGTTGCATCTGAACCCATACAATCTGACACAGTTGCATCTGAAACTGTTGCATCTGAACAAGTTGCATCTGAACCAGTTGTATCTGAACCAGTTGTATCTGAACCACCATCATCCAAACCTACTGATCCTCAACCAGAACCATCCAATCCTATTGAATCAAACATACCTGACACTGAGATTCTGGATGTTCAACCTCTCAAGACTATGTTTGTTGTATCCTTTACATCTTGTACCCCAACCACCTCATCTGATTCATCTGAATCTGATATCCATCCAGATGTTATCTCACCCCCTTCGCTCGGAGAATTTGAATCTAACCAACCAGATCTACCCATTTCAAGTGATGCTATCATTCCTGAACCAACGCCAACACCTAAACCAAAACCATCAGCTTTTATTCCTTATTTTGATAACCCAAAAGCTCTCATCCCATCCATTCGCAGAATCAAACCGTTCTTTCGCATTATGCCTGCTCAGATGGCACCACCTTATCCTAGCCCTCTGATCATCATCCCAGAATTCACCATACCACCACCAGAACAACCTAAACCATTAACTCTGGAAGACTTTCTTAAACCAAAACCCAGGCTTAACATTGATAATTTATTTGCAACTTTTATGAAAGAAATAAAGATGACTTTAGACTCTGCGAAGATAAGATTCTTGTCAACCATGGATGCAAATGAATCTGATGCTATCTGGAATATCTTCATTACCAGATTCAATACTGTTGCCTCAAATCTGAAGAATGTATGTTCTGATGATGCGAAGCTCAGATTTGCTGAGACTGCCAGAAGCTTAGTTTATTTCAAAAGACTCTGATAGTACTACGCTGCCAGTACTGAGGATCTGATCCTAAAACTCTGCTCTAATGAACTTACACGCTGAAAGCATACTTGCTGCAATGCTCTGAATCAACAAACTCTGATGAACATCAAAGACTCTTATCACTCAAGGCTCTGATGTTATTTGCTGAAACTTGTTGAAGAAGAATTCAAAGTTATGTCTGTTGGTTTGGCCAAACGACTCTTTCCTCATTTATGCTAGACACAAGAACACAGACAAAAAGGATTTCTCTGTGCATTCTACTTCTAGGAAAGGTCATGTGTGTGAAGACAAAAAGGCTACAGCCCTTTTCAGTACACAGCCTTCAACGTGAAAAAAACTTGGACGTCTGTGCCTATAAAAGCAAGACTCCATCACTCTTCTTCAGTTGACGAAATATTGAAAGAAATTCAAAGAAAGCTCTCATACAACTTATTCTCATTGCTGAATTTATTTCATTGTTCTTAAACTTAAGTGTAAAATCACAATTGTGATATAGCTTACTTAGAAGCATTTAAACACTTGTTTAGTTTTACATATTGATTGTAAAAGTCCTTACGAAGATCCAGTTGTGATCAGTTGTTCTTAAGAAGACTAAGAACAGTTGTTCTTAGTGCTTGCTATTGTAATCAGTTTGATTAATAGTGGATTAAGTCCTTGTTGATAAAGGCATATCACTCTTGATAGGGTGGACTGGAGTAGTTGAGTTCAACGAACAAGGATAAAAATCTTTGAGTTTTTATTTCCATAATATTTTCTCTACTTATTCAACCCCCCCCCCCCCCCCCCTTCTAAGTATTTTCTCACCTTCAGGATGTTCTAACAAAAGTTATAAGATCCACTATGACATTCACTACAGATCTACTATTATGCAGCAATAGCAAAGCAGTAAATAACACAGTTACTTGTTGACCCAGTTCAGTGCAACACACTTACATCTGGGGGCTACCAAGCCAGGGAGAAATTTCACTATCAACAGTATCAATTTGGAGTCAAACCTCCAGTTTGCACTCCTCACTTAATCACTACCCAATGACAATTTAACCTAGAGACACTCTAGACCTGAGTATACCCACTCACTCCCTACAATCACTCACTAGTGATAACAACAAGTTACAATTTAAACTGTAGTTTGAAGAGACACTTCAACTACACACACACACCTTGATCTTTGCTTCAAAGCTTTGATCAAGGACAACACTCTTGCTTAACAGCTTCGAGTGTAACACAGTCTAGAAACTACCTAACCAATGCACTCAACAGTAGCTTGGGTTACAAGTATTCCTAAGACACAAACGTGAAGAACAATCTCTTCACTTCTAAACCACTATGGTGATTTCTCTGCTTCTCTATCTTTGACAACTGCCTTCTAGGATTGCCTCGCCTGGTATTTGTAGCAGCAGATCAGTTCTTGGGCCTGGGTGCATACATTAGGTTTTATCTATCATAAAACCTCACTTACGTAATTTGCACACTTGCTTCTTTAATCAGGTACATTTTAGTTCCCCTAGGGCATCTAAAATGTCTCCTGCATTCCAACATGGGCTTCTGAGTTGTTTCCTGAGTTATAGCTACCAGAAAAACAAACTTCCGCTTGATGTCATACGGCCTATGTCATAACATTGAGTATGACATCCAGCTTAACTTATAGTTAGCTTAGTTAACTTACCCTGCACAGTCCATATTATGAATGTAATAACATCAAGCATGAAATTCACATATGTACTTATATTTTGCCACAAAATGCAGCCAATCAAGAGCACTTACACAACTCATTGGCAATTTCTCAGTATTAGATGAGTTGTCTCCCCATTCCAAAGCAGGTGTTGCACAAGATAGAAGCTATTTGCAGATCGCTCATTTGGACAGAGTAGGCTGCAATCAAAAGAAAAAGTCCAATAGCTTGGAACAAGGTTTGTGACCTATTGCTTAAGGTGGTTTAAATTTAATAAACATTGATTTGTGGATTATTGTGACTATGTTAAAGTGCATGTGGAATATCTGTATGAAGCTGGATAATCTGTGGGTCAAATGGGTCCATGTATAATACTTAAAAGGGGAAGATTCGATGACTGCTCCTATTAGCAGTAACGGATCTTGGATTCTGACCAATATCATCAGTAGTAGGAGTAATGTTAATTTGGTCCAGCAGGAATGGCATGATATGATGAAGAAAAATAAATTCTCAATGAGCAGGGTGTATCATAATTTGGTGGAGGACAACAATGGAGTGGAATGGAGTCATTTGCTCATGAATAATTTTGCTCGTCCGTGTGCTGTGGTTGCTTGTTGGATGGCCTATCACAATTGGTCAGAAACAAAAATGAGATTGATGAATTTGGGCTTGGTGCAGAACAGTGTGTGCAACATATGTGAAAAGGAGAACAAAACGCAGGATCACATCATGTTTGCTTGCAGAATTTTGAAGGACATTTGGAAACAAGTGCTAAATTGGATGAACATAGATCATCAACCTCTTGAGTGGAAAGAAGAGGTTGGCTAGATTTTAAGAAACACAAAAGGAAAAGGTGGGAGAGTCGGCATTCTTAAGATGTGTGCATAAGGTTTTGTTTTGTAGAAAAATTGGTGTAAATGTTTTCATGTTGGTACGATTGGACTTGGTGTGTAGGTGTGGTATTAGAAATATAGAATTTTGGCATGGTCTGTTGTGGAGGTTTGTGCGCATGGGATGCACATGGATTTTTCTTCTTTATTTTCTTTTAAAAAGAAATTGGTTTGTAAATGTAATGGGCTTGGACTTGTAAATTGGACTTGGTTATTGGTGATTGTACTAATATTTTTTTTTGGAATTTTAATGGATAATATTTTTTGGAATGATTTATGGATTTATTTGGATATTGGATAGAAAATGGGTAATTTATTCTAAACGAATTTGGAATGGACTTTATTGAATGTAAATTGAAAATGAAATTTGGATATTGAGTGGATCCAAAAAGTGATTAAAATGGATATTGACTTTTAGAAATGGATGTGGACTAACCATTGATTTAGAAAAGTTAAGTGGACTAAAAAGGAATTGGATTAGAAAAAGTGGATTTGGTTAATGAATGGATTTAAATTGGAAATGAAATCGATGATTGAAATGGTAAATTGAAAATGAAAAATGAATTAAAATGGTTATGAACATGAATACAAATTAATGGATAATTGAAATGGGTAACTGGAGTGGAAAATGGTTTAGAAATGCGAATTGTCCCTCCACTGATATTCTTCAACAACATATCCATGAAACCGTCACATTTAAGTCCTTGAGTCCTGATAAACCAAAGTATTCACACTGAACCTTTTGAACAAGAATATAGACTTGGTGGATATGTCCTGAAATTATGAACTCCAATGCACTAACTTAAATGCTCTGCAAACTGAATCCATCAGATGAACTTGAGTTGGCACCAAAAACCCTAATTTGTTGATCTTCATACATATAGTACTGATTCATAAAAAAATCCATCTTGAGAATGAAACAATCTCCTCTTTCTTGACCAAGATCAAATCCCATCCAATTGAACTGAAGACTACTGCACATACACACACACATACACACACACACACACACACACACACATACACACACGCTTAACCTGCTAGCCTCAAGTGAACCTGAACTGAACGACACGTGCTCATATCGAACATAAGAGGAAAGAAACCCTAATCTTCATGCTTTGGGTGCATACTGATGAAGCAGTGCCTTAGGAAGTTGATAAGAACCAACAATCATTGTGCTTTGATGAACCTCTGATAAAAACTGCTCATGATGATTGAAAATCCAACACCTCGCTTCAAACTTGAGTACAATATCCAAATGAAATAACCTCTGAATAAGGGACATCCAAATCAACAGAAAAGCCTTTGATCCTATGTCCTAAGAGTCTGATGAAATGCAAGTTAAAAAAGCTTTGTCAAAATTTGGGGTATGACAACTATGAGTTAATGTTTGATTATTTTTACTGATGTTTCTGTTGTTAATTTCACTTTTCTAATGCTCCTTGAGAAAGTCTCAAGGTTAACTGGATGATTGTTGCATATTATGTAAATAATTAATTTACTCAAAACATCTTTCATTAATCTTATCAAGGGATTACAAAATATTCTTAAAAGGAAGAATGGATGGACCTAGAAACAAATGGTTCTATGTCATTCTTTTTCTACAAAATCGATAGCTACTGTCACACCCTAATTTTTGACCATAAGATCCCACTTCCTTATGCATTCTCTTGCATATCATTTTAGTCAATCATTTCGTTTTAGCTAACCATTTTAACCTTTTGTTTGTTTTGCTCTAAGAACCCAGGATTATTGTGGAAGGTCCAGAAAGCCACGAAGATTTTGCGTAGTTATTCAAGGACTAGTTACAATTCTCGACGGCTTCACAATGGGATTATCACTCAAAGGAAAGGAAACGCAAGTTGTAATTGGTTACAAATATAATTAAAAGAATTAGGGGTGCATTTGGTCCAAAGTTCAAAAGTTAGTGAATTATTTGCAAGCCAAGCCTGAATTATTGGAAACGCAGAGTGAGACAAATTCCATAAAGTAATTTCACTACTCCAAAATAGGAAAATCATTGTCGGCATGTTGGTACAAATCCCTTGACATCCATATTGTACAACAAGTTTGACTAATCTATCTGAAAGTTAGTACCAAATTAAAGGATCTCATACATACAAGCAACCTTAGTTCTACGACGGTGAAACCATGCGACAAGGGAATGCGTGTTTTCTTTACACAAATTTACATTCATTGAAGACTTTTAAAGTACAAGAGGGTATAGATAACTTTTGTTGCATTGTTGACAATTCTGGTACGGCGTCCTTTACCGCTCATCTCATCTTCATAAATGAATTTTTACACGCTGCCTCCAAGCATTAAACAAGATGACTGTGCCTCCACATCACACATCACGCCATCAGCAGTCTGCCCAAGACAAAATCGGACGCAGTTATCAATATACAACATGCTTCTAAAAAAACGGCATGGTTACATACAAATTACTATCATCGGTTATAAATTCCATGACAAACATTGAAACACGGCAAACAGTGGTCCATACGCTACCGGTTCTCAATTCTTTCATCTTGTACAAACAACTGCTATCCCTACATTTTAAACCAACGCAAATCATCAAACAAATCCATAGTACAAAGGAATCAAGCTTCTATTACCTTCTTTGATGAAATTGATGGACTGGATAAATTCACAACAAGGTTCAGCATTAATTTTTATTAAAAAAAACAAACACAAGAACTCAGGAAACAGAGAACGAGAGTAAAGATAACCGAATACCTCACCACCGTCTCTATTGATGCCAATGCTGAATTTGAAGAATAATTTGACGACTGTGCCCCCTGCAGTTCAACACTTGGTCCTCATTTCGCTTACACCGTCAACTTCACGTTTTTCCTCAACAAAGCAAAGAAGGAACTGCTACAAACAGAAGAAGCTCTATGATTGGGATTCGGCGTTTATGCAAACGTGGAAGTAATTAAAGGTGCCGAAAAGGTTACGAGACAAACCGAGAAAACCAAGCTGCAACTTCAACCATGCCGCTTCAATTAGCTTCATCTCATTTCCTACCTGCAATTCGACCTGCAGAAGTCGTTAAGGCAAGCGAACACAAAAGCAGAATTTAGTAAGGTGATCCCATTTCGAAATAAGACAGAGAACAACAGGTATTTGTTCAAGCAAAGAAAAGAGGAAGGAGCGAGTATGAGCTACTTGTTACCATTAAGGCCTTACAGCACGAACAGGCCTTGTCTGATATTTACGGTTGCCATGGATTTTCTCAATGCAATGCCACCAAAGCTCGAATACACCAGAAACAGCCCTATACACCTGTGTACAACATTGCATTCCTTGGTTGAACATAACTCTTGGTTTAAGGTGCAGAACATAACCAACTACCTATGACCATTGAATGAACATCACAACTCCAAGTTGATCCCAGTCCTTAAAACAACATTGACTTAATTCCTGCTCCCATGACGACGGCGGTAGCTCAGTTATCTTGGACCTAACACTTGGAGGCCATTGGCACGTGAATTTCAAAATGATGAAGGGCGTCGACACTGAGCAAATAGATTGACAGTGTTTAACGCGAAAGACTGCAAAAAAAAAATAAGGCTATTAATAGAGGCATTTTCTGGCTGATACGATTAAAATATACGGGATGAATAACAAGGGATTTTATGGATACCTTAGAGGTGTTTTTGGGCACGCTTGTGCAATCTTCGTACAGGCCTATTACGGATGGGCGAAGGTGAAAACCGCAAACCAAGCGTTCGCATCGGTTCATAACTGGACTCTTACTCCAACACTACAAAGTTTCAGCAAAGAGCAAATTCGAAAGAGATCAAGAACATCATTGTTTTATACTCTATCATTAAAACGAAGTCAATATATAGGAAGACCGGATGAATTACTCCTGCTACGCCGTCAACACCAAAACAATCAGCCCAATCAACTCCCTTACCGACTACGGTCTCTTGCCGGGTTTCAATCGTCAGTCTCTGGAAACCATAACATTGGTTTAATTGCTGTCAACACCTTTTGTCCTGCATAAAGTTCAAAGTCACTGTGAGACTCGTCAACTTAGCCAACAACTTAAGATATGATGAAAATAAGGATAACATGGATAATTACCAATTTTTCGTTTCCTGATAGGCAGGCCGAGGTAGTAAGAGCACAGACCTGGTTGTTTCTAACTGTAAACCATTGAGCTATGACATGGTTCGGCTAACATTAGATTCAACTTATACCATGAACCTCTGCTACACTTGCTTATCCCCTTAGGCTCCCTACATGGCAGATCAAAGAAGAATTGTTATCAATTATCACAACTATTTTTATCAAGCACAACAATAATAGATCGAATCATAGGCGAAGAAGGAAATTTATCCATCCTGGAATGACTCCTTGTATTCACAGCCGACACTTTTGGAAGGAGCCTTAACACCGTTTTCTGAAAATCAAGGCAAAGTCAATTAGATTCCAAACATACTTCAGACACGATTAAACAAGATACGCTAAAGAAGGAAAACATTCATTACCATTAACGGCAGTTATTCCAAATCAACAACATTCAATTCGATTAATCAACCTTTGATTCAGTTGAGCCTATAAATCACCCGCTAACAGAAGGCAAAGGGGGAGAATTCACAACAAACACACAACAATTGACCAAAAATCCAAAAACCCCACAAAATCCCAATTTCAAACCCTAATTTCGAGAGAAGACAATTTATCTTTCAAATTCCACCGTGAAACCACCGGAACCCTCTTTCACCTGCCATCGCCGGAATCCCTCCGATGAATCTATGATGCAAATCGCCACTGTTGAAGCCGATCAAACGTTCATTCCATCGTTGAATCACCCGGACTCTCCAAGCCGCCACCGAAAGAGAACAAATCTATTCACTGTTTTTATTATTGATGATTTTATTGTTGTTTCAGATTGAAAAAGGGAATAGTGAGAGGAGCGCGAAG